CAAACTTGAACAGGGCAATATAAATGTAAAATATTGACTCTCTCAGATTTTTATGAGACATCTTAAAATGTCTGTAATGCTTTAAGCAAATAATGTTGTAATGCTCCATGTGTTTTTTGTCCCCTACAGTTGCTGGTGAAACTGTCCATGTGTAGTCTGTTAAGCATGCTCTTACAAGCACTTATTCTCTCAATGGGGGAATAAACAACAGCTTGAGGGTCAGGCATAGATTTATACTTTAGTATACTTAAGCGATAAACTACAAGGCCTTCAGTGTTTTTGTAAAACAGTTACTACATAACGAAGAAGCTATGCTACACTACAATAGGCTTATAGTATACACTATAAACAAGAAGTTAATATATATTCAATTAAAGGGTTAGTTCACCCAAAAGATTATTACGTTTTGAATATGGATATTTTTCTTACAAAAACACATCGATTCGCTACAGGAGACTTTTGTTCACCCCCCAGAGCCGTGTGAGAATACACCTAGGATGCCTTGAGGGTGAGTAATTTATGGGCTAATTTTCATTTTTGGGTGAACTAACCCTTTAACTTCCATTTTAGACAACATTATAGTTTGTTTATTTTTGCTCTGCCGTCAAAAACTGTTCTAAACGAAGACAAAGCAGGATGAATCGTTAAGCATCTCCAAACAAACACATAGTAGTGATGTTTTGTTCCTAAATGAATTTGTGTTGTTGAACAAATTGGTTGAGTGAATAATTCAATGACTCTTTTTCAATGTCTTTGAAATGTCAATGATAATTTCAATGTCTACTTTCAAAGGCTGTGTCCTCTGGAGGTCACATTTGTCGGCAACATAAAGTACATCATCAAGGCTGTCACACTTGGGAGGTGTAAATTACTGTCATTTCTTTCTTATTTTGGAGTATAAAAGTTGCTTTTCTAAAATGAGACGTATGACATCTGCTGCCGACAAATGTGACCTCCGGAGTTTGCAGCCTTCAAATTGATCAAAAAGACAGTTTCATTCTCTCAAAAAATTAATGATTCAAATGACTCACTCATAAAAACAAGTCACATGTCGCCACCTACTGGTAACAAAGTAACTTGTAGCAAGAATTAATTTTTTCTCATCTTAAGTATTACATTTATTTTTCGAATAAAATAATATTAGGCAAATATTTTAAAAGCTGCCTAAACAAACTTGAACAGGGCAATATAAATGAAAAATATTGACTCTCTCTGATTTTTATGAGACATCTTCAAATGTTTGTAATGCTTTGAGCAAATATGTTGTAATACTCCATGTGTTTTTTGTCCCCTACAGTTGCTGGGGAACTAAGGTTTACTGTATCTAACATTCCCAGAATTCCCTGGGCCCCTACTGACCTGTCAACACATTCCTAAAGCTCCATTCACTCTCTAATTGGCTGGGACATCAATGCATCCTGGTCCTGATTGGCTCACCTCTGAAAGCTCTGAGGCAACATAGAACTTTACCAGCTCTGTTTACATGAATCCCCGGTTGCCGTGACAACATTGATGGTGAATGTTGCAATGCAGCGAGTGCCTTGAAGTTCTGTCTTATTCTTATGTAACTGCGCATGTGTTGATTGATTCTGACATTTCGTTACATTAATCATTCAGAGCCTCATATTTTTATTGCTCAGATTTAGAGCCAATAAATATGTGGTCAAAGGTCACGCTATCCATATGAACTCACTTGGAAACACTGCCAGGGTGTCCAACAGGAAGAAAGTCTGTGTTTTATAGATGTTTAAAGGCCAAATGGTAAAGTCAGCACTTTAAATTTCACTCATTTTGCACCGTTGCCGCAGGTCAGTGAGTACAGTAGCTTTCATATCAACTGAAATGTATAAACCGGTTTTAACGTTATCCCGGCATGTCAGAGCACAGAACGACAACAAAAAAAAAAGCCTTGTAGCCATAAAATCACACAATATTATCATCATAACATGAATCCTGTAGAGACAGAAAGCCTTTTGTTTTACAGCACATCCCATACCGCTGTCAAGAGGAAAGGGCTTTTATGAGAATCTTTCATAACTAATAATGGCTTTGGGTGAAACATCGAACCAATGCTTCTTTTGTTTTAAAGTTTCTAAATGAACAGTATAATGTCATTGTAAGTAAACAGAACTTATTCTCAGTTCATGGGATGGTGCTTCTGGTTTAAAAGGTGAGTGGCTCATAATTTGAAAATGAATGGACGAAAGAAAGGAAATATTGGGAGAGATGGATTTGACCGAGCAACCCGGCAATGTGACCTTTTCCTGACTTCAAAATAATTCTTAATTCACAGACTAAACTAAGAATGACGAGAGTTGGTCAGTTTCCCACAAGATGAATCTGCTGGGTCAGTGTTGGTGCTTTTGTTCAGTTGCAGTATTTTTTCATTAGAAAGTTTAATTAATAAAATTAGATTTTTATTTAATAAGATTAGATTCGCATTTTTTCTGTGTGGTTGTTTGGCTGTTCTGGGTGGTTGCTACTTAATTAATAAAAATAACAAAAATACAACAAAATTACCAGCATTATAAAATTAAAGTGAAAATAATAAAATATAAAAATAAAATCTTATCTAATTGGTTTTACTACCAATAGATTTCAGCTGTTTTCTTTTTGTTATGTGAGGGTCTTTTTAACCCACTTATTTGTTCTATTTTTCAAATGTGTTCATTTATATATTTTATTATCTTTATAAATTTTAGCACATTGGAAATCTGTCATTAAAAATATTAGATATTATATATATATATATATTAGCTGGGCCCCAGTGCAGGTTGTAACCATGGGCCCTATTTGAAATCATGTAAATAGCTAAGATAGAAATTAAACAATGTTTAGTTTTTTCAAGTTTGTAGGTAATCCGGTACAGAAACCGAATAATCAAATGTAAAATAGCATTGCATAGTCTTCACTGTATAAATTAAATATAGATTAGTTCTAGTTAAAACTAAAAATTTATTCAGTCAAGAGCAGTGAGTGATTTTCTTTCTTTCATTTTCTTGGATTAACATTAAGGACACCAACACAGCCGTGGGCCCCTATAATCTTCACCACCTTTCACCCCACTAGCGACGGCCCTGTATATACAGTATATATATATATATGCAGTACATAATGTGTATGTGTTTCTCTCATTTCTGTGGTGAATGAGGTGTTTTCAGACCTCCTCTGTATCTGCACGTGATGTGGGATGTGGTTGCCCAGAAAAGAGGAGTAAAAAGAAGACGGAGCAACGAAAGTTATTTGTTTGAGTGAACCCTCCTCGCCCATTCCCATTTGCTATTGGACGTGAGAGCAGCCAATGAGTGGGTGGGGAGGTGGACTTCCTGTGGGCCAGTGACATGGGCCCCACATGTAAAATATTCCTGACCTCTCCCAGGGTGTTTATTTTAGAAAGAAAAAAGGGGAAACATTCCCCATCATTAAGGAAAACAGTGAGCCTGTGCGTGTGGTATTTGAACTCTTGCCTGGTCTTAGTTTTACTGTATTGTGATTGGTTGAGAGGATTCAGGTTTTTTGTTTTTTTTACAAAACAGGCTCTTATGTCACATCACATGTATGAAACATGTAAGTTTGGAAGGGGCGGCGGGACAGTGTGAATGACAGCAGATGCACACAGATAAGACGTCTGCTGGCCTAAGCGGGTGTTGGGACACATTCTTGAACTCCATTGATCTTATATTTATAGAGTCACATGTATGTAGATGCAATCTTTCTCAACCTACATGTCTCTAACAGGTCCTGTAGACAGCGATAAGGGCATGTTTAGAGAACCAAGATCAAAAAGAAGAATCATGAAACACATGAAGTGAAGCAAATGTGTTGGATTGATTTTGAAATTTGGCAGAAAGATTTCAAGGGGTCTTGGTAGATAAGAAAAAAGGTATGAGCAAGAAAGGATTTGGATGATGACTTTTTAAAATTGTTTAGTGGGTTGAGAACAAACACATCTAGGTTAAATTACTGTTTATATATATATTTAGCATTAAAGTAGGCTACATATTAGTCTTATTCCTGTAATGTACAAATTTTCAGGAGACTTATTGGAGTAATATATATATATACACACACACACATATATATATATATATATAATTATTTCTTGCATATTTTATAATATTTTTAGTTATTCATATAATAATAATAATAATAGTTAATAAAAACGTACTGTAAGATTATGTAAACAAGGATATCTAGCGCCCCCAAGTTGTCAAAAAGAACACTGCAGATTGAAAAAATCAATAGTGAAATGCTGCCATGTATTGGTAGAAATGGGTAACTAAAATGTCAATTTCAATACTTAAATTCTACACACAGTACGTCAGTGCATTAATTTATCATGACAAACTTTACAAATATTCATATAGTTCTGTAGTGCATTTCAAAAAATAAAGCCATACATTTTATGTTGGCAATTGCCAACATCAAACATCCACAAAGAAGTCTTTAAAGTTATATTTTAATGTATATATATTTATTATGCATATTAGAATTTTCATTACACTTGTACAATATTATAGCTTATGTATATAATTATGTTCTGTTTGAAGATTTTTATGTATAAATGGTATAAATAGGTAATTATATACTTATATTTTTGTGTATGAAATAAACTATTTGTGTGAAAAAAGGGGAGAAAACTCTTCTTCTTTCTCAAGAAGAAATTATTTTAAAATATTCTCAGGAGTTTTGTCATTTAAATGGGTTCATTTAGTTCAAGGTGGATGGCCTTTTTTTTTACTCCACTGAAAATATTCCAGCACATTGTAGGTGAATTAATGCATCTGAAATTAGTATACATGAGTCTGAAAATGTTCTTTATACAATAGACCCATTAGATGCATGCCAGAACTTTGCGACCTGTGCCAACAGAAGCTGCATATATGTGTACCATAAAAGGTGGATTCAATGCCATTCAGTGCTAATTACAATTGCAGAAAAAAATATTTAATTTGATTTAATCATTTAATTTAATTGTATTATTGATTTCTCTCTCTCAGCCTGCAGAACCTCTCAACATTAATCATTATGCCACTAAGAAGAGTGTAGCAGAGAGCATGCTGGATGTGGCGCTGCTGATGGCAAACGCCTCTCAGCTGAAAGCTGTCCTGGAGCAGGGCCCCGAGTTCAAGTACTACCTCACTGTCATCGTCCTCATCGCCACATCACTCTTCTTCCAAGTGCTCGCGGGGGCTCTCTTTGTCCACATGGGTGAGAGTGAAATCCATCATGCATTATACACAAAACCTGTAAGGGATTTTAGAGGGTTAATTTTTGTTAGCACAAATCCAAATCAGATGTTTTATATTCAGTGATTCCTTTTCATACAATCTTCCCTTTTCAGCACGCAAAAACCTGAATGACGTGGCCAATCAGAGGAAGCTGGACATAATAAACAATGTGGCCACTGTGCTGGTGTTTCTCACCGTCATCATCAACATCTTCATCACCGCTTTTGGAGTGCAGAAGACAGGTCTCTATCCTAAGCAGTAAACTGTCTGTGAGATCATACAGGTGATACAGAAAAAATTCCAATGTTGAATATGTATGCCACAAACAATATTATAAGCAAATTGACTGTTTCTTTCATGTTGTTTGATTTTAGGGTCTCAATAATGGTTATGATGAAAGTCACATTCTTCAGTCCAGTCCAATCATGAAAGACTTCCTTCTGGGTTTGATATTTGTTATAGGACACATAATTATTTTATGGTCTTTTTTATTTATTTCTACGGAGGGCATTATATTAAAGGGTCTATAAAACAACATACATTTATCATAGACTGTCAAGTGATTTATATTACCCAAAGGTAAAACTATAATCAAATAACACAAATTCATCATCTAATATGTGTTCTATACTTCATACTGTCCCAACTATTAATAAATGTTTATTATGAAATACTCAACTGTTTACCATCCAGTTTAAATGATCTCTGGCACCTTTTCTGTAAAAAATGTCTATGGAATGTCCCCATAAAACATGGAAAGCCAACAAATGTGTGTGTGTGTGTGTGTGTGTGTTTTATACAGTACACAACGATGGAGATCAAAATAGAGAACAATCTATAAATATTTGACTTTTTCTGAAATATTGTTCATCTTTATTGCTCAAAGTTTGTAGCTGTAGTTATACCACTGTTAACGTTTGACAAAGTATCCAAGGCATTTCAACAAAAATCTTTATCTTGTGGAAAACACAGTAATCAAAACTGGAGAACAGTAACCACTGTAGCATGAAAACTAAAATTTTGGATGGTTACAGCGGTCAGAAATTAGTAGGAAGTGTAGAGGCTCCTGCTTTGAATGACTTCAGCACATCTGAGGCCGCAGGACAACACTAGTTTCTCAGACTGCTCTGGTGTGATCTTGGTCCGCTCTTCTTCCACAATTCGGTAACTGTAGTGGGTTTCTTAGCCATAACTTTGTCACCAAGGATTCGGGTTTAGATCAAGACTCTGTGCCAGCTATTTCATTATTATTCAGTGTTCTTAGCTTCAAGGAACTGCTTTACCTGTTTTGCAGTGTGATGGGAGTATTGCCTTGCATGAAAATTGCAGGCTGATTGGGAGATGCTTGCAGGGAAGGAACCGCATGTTGCTGAAGGAGGTTCTGATAAACATTTGCATTCACCCTGCCATGTATCTGTATGCTTCAAGGAACTGCTTTACCCATTTTGCAGTGTGACGGGGACATTGTCTTGCATGAAAATTGCAATCTGGCTGGGAGATGCTTGCAGGGAAGGTACCGCATGTTCCTGAAGGAGGTTCTGATAAACATTTGCATTCACCCTGTCATGTATCTGTATAAGAGGCCCAACTCCTGCTGCAGAAAACATCCCCCAAACCATGACACTTCCTCCTCCACCTTTCACTGACTTACGCACTCGGGGTTCAGTCTTTCCTCAGTTTGATGCCGAATTAAATGTTTCCCATCAGACCCAAATAAATTAAACTTGCTCTCATCACTAAAGTGAAATTTGGACCAGTTCTCCTCTCTCCACACAGCATGCTCCTCAGCAAAGGTGAGCCTAGCCTTTTGATTATTTCTGCTGATGAGAGGCTTGGTCACTGCAGAGTGTGCTTTCAGTCCGACTTTTCTTAAATGTGCCAAGACAGATCCAGACCCTGTTCAGCGCTGAACTGTTGAGCATTTTCAGCTGCAGTGTTGAACCAGTTCCCCATTGAGAGTCTCTGCATTATCCTGTCTTCTCGTGCTTTTGTCTTACGTGGACGACCAGGCTTTTTGCAGGACTTGAATGAATTAGTGTTACTGTAAAGCTGCAATATTCAAGAAATCACAGATTTGGAACGACCAGCTTTTCATGGCTGAAAGGTTCATCCCTTGGGCCTTCATCTGGACCGCCTCCTGTTGCAGGGTTTCAGTCACCTTAGATCTGCCTGCCATCGTGCAATCTCAGAGAAAATTAGAGGAATGCTGCCTGGTTTGTCATATAATTAAGGAAATTAGCACCAGGTGCCAGATTAACACCAATAACTTGTATGCATCTGTAAGTGTTCTCTAATTTTGATCAGAGTTCGGTTTCAAATATCTCATTTAAGTTTTTTATACTGGGCTTCAGAATACAATTAATTTATTAAATATGCTTAAAAACTGCCCTTCTACTCCAGTTAGGATAACTTCAAATATGACTAAGCAGTGACCTTGAAATTTAGGAAACTGTAGGTTGTTCTCTCATTTTGATCTCTCAGCAGTATTGGAAGATCTCTACTGACCTCTAGTGGACTATATCTGTTATAGAAACAGGCGAATGGAAATGAGTAATGAAAAAAATCCCTTTCAAGTTTTAAATGCAAAGTAAATTTGACTTGTGGTTTGACCTACAGTAACTAAAGCATTAATAATAATAATAATATATCAAGATTATACAGTACAGTTTAAGTATTAATGTAAATGGAATTGGTTTGAAAAGGCTTTCAGTAAGAATAATGATGTAATTTCCTGATAATGCTGATCTGATAACGCATCACATAGTTAAAAGGAATGAGACTAGAGCCTAATTTTATCAAATGTTCTTGGGTAAGGGAACTTAACACCCTGAACCTGATCAGTGTGGTCTGGGTCTGTGAGTCCTTTTCCTGCAGTCATGCTTCAGTTACACAAGCAAGTGATATCATTCAAACCCCAAATTACACCCAGAAGACCAATGCTGGAGGAGGTCTCCATCGTGTTGGTATACAGCGCCAGTCTCCAGTGCTCAACATATAGAGAATATCTGAAGATGTGATGATGGGTAAATCTGAACAGAATGGATGTTGTTTAGTCTGTTGACATTTACATTTAATCATTACCAGATTCTTTTATTCCACAACAACTGTCAAAATGAAAAACATCCCCAGCAAGTCACTAATATAATTATTGTAACTGTTAAGGATTGAAAGGATTAAAAGAGTGAATGAGTTTAAGAGTAAAAGAAATCTTCAGCACTATCAAATTATTTGTAATATTATTATATTATGGTATCACAGAATAGTAATGGTATCATAGAAATAAAAATTGAAAATAATAAATATAGTTGTCATGTCAAGAAATAAAAAAATTTCTTGAAATTCTTGAAAAAAAAAATGCAAATATAAAATATAAATATTACAATTTATTATTTTAATTATTAATTTTAATTATTTTATTAAAATTTAAATATCTAAAAAATAAATATAAATACATGTGAACTAACTGCTATAAAATGTCAACTACTTCTTAAATAAATAAATAAATAAATATTAGCTGATACATTTGAACCCCACTGTATATAACCAGCATATCCCCCTCTGCGTGCTGCCACCTCGCAGAAGAGCTCGTGCACGTCACGACGGTCATGGAGGCCAGTGTCAGGGCGCGCGCATCCCGGTTCGCTACGTCACTTGAAGCGCCCTGGCTCGTAGATCTGGCAAAGAGAGGGAGAAAACGACAGAAGTACTGTAAAACAGGGCTTTCCCCGCGGTTATCAGCTCTCAAAGTGATAAGTAAATTTGACTTGTGGTTTGACCTACAGTAACTAAAGCATTAATAATAATAATAATATATCAAGATTATACAGTACAGTTTAAGTATTAATGTAAATGGAATTGGTTTGAAAAGGCTTTCAGTAAGAATAATGATGTAATTTCCTGATAATGCTGATCTGATAACGCATCACATAGTTAAAAGGAATGAGACTAGAGCCTAATTTTATCAAATGTTCTTGGGTAAGGGAACTTAACACCCTGAACCTGATCAGTGTGGTCTGGGTCTGTGAGTCCTTTTCCTGCAGTCATGCTTCAGTTACACAAGCAAGTAATATCAGTCAAACCCCAAATACAGCTCCAATCTCCAGTGCTGAACATTTGAAGATGTGATGATTGGTACGTCTGAACAGAATGGATGTTGTTTAGTCTGTTTACATTTACATTTAATCATTACCAGATTATTTTAATCCACAACAACTTTCAAATGAAAAACATCACCAGCAATTCACCAACACACATATATATATATATATATATACACACAGGGCGCGCGCATCCCGGTTCGCTACGTCACTTGAAGCGCCCTGGCTCGTAGATCTGGCAAAGAGAGGGAGAAAACGACAGAAGTACTGTAAAACAGGGCTTTCCCCGCGGTTATCAGCTCTCAAAGTGATAACGGCCCGTCTACAACAATAGATACAGGCACAGCCATCTCACCAAACCGGACTAACCTCTTGTGAAAGAAGGTAAGGAGCTTTTGAAAGTGATTTTTCTCTGCTGAAGAGTCTGAACTGCTCGGACACAGCCCATTGATAGTGTGGGATTATGTGGAGAAATGTCTGTATATTGCACACTAACGGTCTATATACGTTCGTGAGCGCCCAGCCAAACTAGAAGGAAGGCAAAGCTGATATTTCACAATATGCGCACGAGAGACTGTTCAAATGAAACGCTGTTGCGCCAGTAAGCAATGGAGGAACAGGAGGAGGGGAAAGAAGAAAAAATACACACATATTCCGTGTAAGAGAGGAGTCTCGTTCCAGTGGCGAGTTTATGATTCGACATAAACAGCTATAGTGAGGCAATCTGGACACTATTGTGTGGTAAAAACCTCTGCGAATCAGTCCAAAGCTTCAGCCCAGGCGATGTCAAGCCCTGCGACTGCATGCATGTGCATTTCAGACTTTCATTCGTGATTTCTTTGCTTATTTCCCTCGTAGAACAGATTTAAAGCGTCCGCGAGGCGGTTAATAAATATCCGCGAATTGTTACAAAGTATCTCCCCACTCTCTGTGACGTCAGCAGGAAAATATGTATCGGTTACAAAATATGCCTTCTTTAGAACAGACACAAAGTATCTCCCCGCTGGGGAAATATTTACCCTAATTGCAAACTGAGAAGTTGTTTATTTCTGAGCAAAACAAACCCTCAAACACAACAGTTTTGTTTAAAAGCAGAGAATGTTGTTATAGGGACCCTGCAGGTAGTTCAATCGAGTCTCGTTCCCGACTGATTCTCGTTTAGAATAATTTGATTGGCTCCTCTGAAAAGGATCCAAGAGCCCCTCCCTTAACATTTTTAACCACAATATTTAATTTAACAAAATATATATTTATATATTATGTTATTATGTGTATTTATGCTGTAATATTAAAAATTGATGTCTTCATAATGTGATGTTTGTTACAATTCTGTTTTTATTAGCTCATATTATAGATGACACATGGAATATTTGTACTCCTGTATTAAATATTTAAAAAATATATTTTTTAATTTAATAAAAATTCTAAATGGAAAGCATTTTTGAGTACTCAGACCTTTTAATTGATGCTGGTTGTAAATTACAGTACAAAACAAAATCTGACAACATTTTTTTTTGTTTAAAGATTATTTGGATGTTAGAGGTGTTCATGTCTTATGAATACAAGAAATATCAATAATATATATTATCTAGTGATCCAACAGGTGTCTTTCACATCAGTGCTTTAAGTTGTGTGGCTGATCCTTGTTTTAGGAAGGTTGTTTTTGTGGTTGTTTT